AGTAAATAGCCGCATTAATCATGTTTTCTCTATAAAAACAACCTCAAACGCATGTGTTTGGAGGAGACACAATCTTTTACTCCTTACTATCAAGCAATACTACATACTTTTTCTCTTACAATTTCGCAAGGCTTTTATTATTTTCATTCTTATCAAATTCTTTTTCTTTATTGGTTTCTTGGTTATTTTCCTTTTCTTATATTCATCCATTGATTTTAGAGTTTTTCTCCACAAAAATACTTAAAGACAATCGAGTGTGAATCCTACATCCACAATTGTTTCCTGTGGTTTGGTAGTGATTTTCGGAATTGAATTTATGTAATAATTAATAAATTATTAAGAGTGATAGTCTGATGGTGGCATGCCCTAGAGTAAATTGTTAAATGCAGTACTGAAGTGCTTTGATATGCGTAGGGTTAATGATTCCCGAGTAGAAGGGGTATAGCAATTCGAAAGCTATAATGGTAATATTGGGTAGGAGAAACTACCGCCAAAAAGGTTTGAAAAACCATGTGCGGTTTGGTTAGCTCAATATCCACGTGGATTGTACTTACTTCTCTTTGTTTATTGTATTCCTTAATTTTCGAGAATTGCCCATTTCATTGACTTTAGGATCTGACGCATATTATACAGTGGAAAGTGTAGGACACATCTTGTCTTGTCTCATAAATGTAACAACGTAATATGAAACAGTAATTTAATATTTTCATAAATATGTTTAAACAATTATTATTCGCCATAGCATGTCCATCTTGCGTCAATCCACGGTAGGAAATTGGGAGGGAAGTTTTGCCGCCAAAAAAATAGAAACACCAAGTGGTGGGATATATAGAATATCCACGTGGATAGAATTTAGTTATTATTGATGAGTATATAAGTCAACTTTTCCTAATATCTAACAATGTTAATTTAAAAATGATTTAAGGATGTGACGCAATATATGTTTTGGTAACAGATACCAAGTAGGTGATAAGTTTGTGTAACATCGTTGTCAAATCTCTTATCAATAACTAATATTTCTAAAATATTATACTTCCCATTTTTAACCATGATTTGAAATCAACAAGAACGAACCGGTCTTTGTATGAAGTCATATTTTCGACATATTATCATAAACAAGTCATCAACCCTTGTATACTCAGCATATAATCCATTTTCTGATATCCACTACATCATATCCATGTGTTTAGATATATATATTTTAATCAACTGAATATAAAATAAAAGTGGGGAATTAGCTAAAAACACGAGTTTAGGTTAAACGTAGATGTTTAATGGACTCTATAAATAGTTTATAAACCATAACACAACCTATCCAAATAGAACTTTTTATTGTCATACTGAGTATGATTGGCGATTCACAAGAAAGCTTAACTATGTGTGGAGTACTCGAAAGCTATGAAGAGAGCCAGGGTTCAAATGTCGTTGAGGTTGTTGTTATGTGTTTTTATAATAATGCTAATCTAAGAATGATTTCTGAAAAAATTTGTTTTTGTTTGGTAGGAAATTCCAATGAGGGAATTTCACATTTCTCAGCCGTTGATGGAGATCATCGTGAGTAAGGTTGGAGAAGATGGTGTTGACGCGTTGAAGAACTTGTTGCTCGCTGGGAGAGAGGGGAAGGATGCTGTTCTGTCAAAGAAAACCTTGGCATCTGTTCGGATTGACATGGATAATCATTTCATGTAGTGGTCAATGCCACATTCAAAGTACTACACTTTCTTCCAAAAGTGTCTTGCGGCGAATAATCCGTATGGGAAGTTTGTAGAGAAGAACAAAGGACTAGCTTATGAGTCGACGATATGTTACTTCCAAATGAGATGCCGTTGGAAGGTCTGCCACGAAAAACGCTCAGGGGGTTTGATGGACCTGGATGACATGAAAAGGTGCGTGGTGAAGCCACCTATGCAGCGGGAAAGAGTTGGGAGGCCAAGGTGCCGTATGTGCAATAAAGCTGGGCACAGGTGTATGGATTAAGGATTGTAGGATGGTGGCGGGATGATGGGGTAGAGTTCATGAAATTAATGATCAACGTTTTTTGGAATGATATTTGGCTATAATCCAACATATAATCGGGATGTTGTTTTTAGCTTTTTGTTGAACGGGAATGTAAAACATTTAAGATTGTTGGGATGTTTTTGCTAAAGTTGCTTTAAGCACATTGTTTTAGTCCATGTAATGGTATCCATGTAATCATTAATTTTATATTTTAATCCTCTAACCTATTTCACAAATGTTGTACATTTTTATTTTAGTTTTGATGTTATATTTGGTGTATGTAATCCTCTAATCCTCAGATAATAGGTAAGAGCGGAAAAACTCCCGCCAAAACAAAGAAAAAAAAATTAAAGTGTTTTTATTTACAATATTTAAGGAAAATATTTTATGAAGTGTATCCACGCCTTATAATCCATTGAATGTGTAACCAGAAAATTATATCCATGTGTAAAAGATATTGATATTTTAATCCAAATCAATTATAAAATTATGAGGTTAGGGTGCAACTAATAGGTTTAATAAAGTCTATAAATAGGATATAAACTGTAACACAACCTAATCCAAAGATCAGACATTTGTATTTCTTGTTAAAATGGGCGAATTACAAGAAAGCTTATCTATATATGGGAGGTGTACTCGAAAGCTATGAAGAGAGCGAGGGTTCAAATGTCATTGAGGTTGTTGTAATTTGTTTTTATAATAATGTTAATATCCGAATGATTGTTTACAAAAATCTGTTTTTGTTTTTTAGGAGGTTCCTATGAGGGAATTTCACATTCCTCAGCCGTTGATGGAGATCATCGTGAGTAAGGTAGGTGAAGATGGTGTTGATGCGTTGAAGAACTTGTTGCTCGCTGGGAGAGAGGGTAAGGATGCTGTTCTGTCGAAGAAAACCTTATCATCCGTTCGAATTGACATGGACCCTCATTTCATGTGGTGGTCAATGCCACATTCCAAGTACTATACTTTCTACCAAAAGTGTCTTGCCGCTAATAATCCGTATGCAAAGTTTGTTGAGAAGCACAAGGCACTGTGTTATGAGTCGACGATAGGGTACTTTCAGATGAGATGCCGTTGGAATGTCTCACATGATATGCGCATGGTGGATGACATGAATGTGTGCGTCGTTCAGCCACCTTTTCAGCCGGGAAGAGTCGGGAGGCCAAGGTGCCCTAGGTGCAAGAGAGTTGGGCACAGATTCAACAGGTGTGTCAATTAAGTTATGGAGGATGTAAGCGGGATGTTGGGGTAGAGTTCATGAAAGTATTAACAATTTTTTGTGATAAGTTATTTGGTTATAATCCAATATGTAAGCGGGATGTTGATTTTGGTTACATATTACCTTTTAGTTTGCAGGGGAATGTATAACACTTAAGAACTTTGTTTGCGTCCATTTAATGTTATCCATATTGTTTCTTAAAGTTCAATGTCCAGCAATGAGTATATCCTTTTGTCCATAAATTGTTATCCATATAATCGTTATTGTTGTGGTACTAACCTTTATAAACTTTGTCAATATTCTGGTCAAATTTAGGTAAAAGAATTAGAGTCTCGGGCCATGGGTTGTTATCCATATAATAGTAATAAAATACGTCGAATCACAGAAAAATTGCCTTTTTTTTTTGTTGGAACGCATGGTCGAAGAAATTATAGTCTGCTGACAGGAATAGTAGCTTAAAAGTAACCTGTCCACAAACGAGCATCGGACGTAGTAAAAGCTATTGATGTGTTGTGTCACTCTTCAATCATTACCCAGTAGATAATACAATGTAAAGGGTGTCAGTATTGGTTAACGTGATGTATTTGGCCAATGACGTACGAATAGGTTATACAGCTACATAAATTAAAGATTTCTATAATTATGACTTAGTTGACAATTAGAAAGTTTAAATATAGAGTGTAAGTGAATTGATGGCCTAAACTGAAGCTATTTAGATTTTTTTTAAAAAAAAATTTGGACTGAAAAAGTGAAGTTGGCTTGAATATCAGTAAGTACAGTTCAAATCAGACAACAAATTCTATTCGATGATTTTTCCAAGTAGAAAATAATTAAAAAAAGAAAAAAAATAAAACTAAAAAGAAAGCGAAAACAACAATGTTTTTCAGACATCTAATCTGGGTTTTCAAGTCTTCAATATCTTTCTGAAGAACAGAATCATCCAACCGCGTCTCCTTCTTCAAAGTGCTAATGTCGGAATCACAAATATTTAACCCTTTTTGCAATGTGTGTGTAGCTCTCTCAATGTTATCGACTTTTTCAATCAACACCTCAATCTCTTCTACCAAACATGTATCCGTCCATTTGAACAAATGGTACCTATTATCATGTGTAATCGGTTATTAGTTCTGATATGAATTTAGCAAAAATGATGTAAGTTAGTTCATATACTTACAGGGGATCCCAAAGGACATGCATAAAACAAGCGACCAGGGTTTCTTGGAGTTGCTGAGGTTTTCATCACAACTTCCTCGCCACAACGGCAGAGTTTCGGGATACCTCCAAATTGATCTACCATTTACTTGTTTGGACCTTTACGGTGGAGAACTTGAAAAAGCTTGTTATGGTGAAATCCCTAGATCTTAGAATATATTCCCAATTATGGACGACGTCGTTTTTGGTAAAAGGTGAAAAGGAGTAATTCCAATAACTGACATAATATAATTCGTATTAATTTGTTTGTGATTCGTATTAAGGAGCAATTTATATAATGACACCAGTAACTGACATAATATAAGAGAATTCGTATTAATTTGTTTTCATACATTATTTTGAGAGAATACCCAAAGCTGATAAATCGGAATATGTTAGCCGTGTGGTCTGTACTCAATGGATTGCACTACGAGCCATCAAAAAAAGGTCATTTATCGAATATCATTTATTGAAACGCAACTACAGATAAAATACACAATTGATAATCGAATGCATTTATCAAATATCATTGTAATAGTCCATGAATACATAGTCACAATTGACAAAATCAAATAATATTCGTATTAATTTGCAGTCTAACAATTTTTTATGCTTTGACGCTGGGAAATGGATATATATAAGCCGTGTGGTCAGTACTCAATGGATTGCAAGACAGTGTATGAGTATAAACAGTCATTTCAAAAGGCAGATTTAGATTAAAAATCTAACACAAGTCATGGATTTGAAAGACATAAAATAGCACAAAGCAAGATGGGCAAACATCTAAACCCCCGTAATGGACTAAACCACAAGCTGGTATAACGTGTAAACCCCTGTACCCTCGGTAAAGATGCTTTCCTGTTGAACCCATGTCTGATATCTGAGTCATCACCTGGTCAGCGCAATTAATAGCTTCTTCGAAAGTTTGAAACTTCTCCAAATACTTTTGGAGAATCAAACTTCCTGCAGATGGATTTCCGCATAAAACATAGAAAATGCCAAAAGCAAAATAGGAATGAATGTTATGAATTGCAGCTTCACCAAGCATATCAAGAGATTGAACAGAAGGGCCAACAAGTGCAGCTAGTCTTAATCCTTCAATGTATTTGGCAGTGTTGTTGTTAGAATGTAGACATCTAAGCAGAAATGGGCGGTACGGTGACCCTTCAATGCACAAAGATGGGACAGATACAAACTCTTCAAGACCAACCTCCTGTAATACTTCATCAGAAAATACAATGGCTGACCATTCAGGGCCAGCAGCGATGAATGGACCGAGATGACGAAAACCAGAAATACCGATCCGACGAACTATGTCTGTAACCAAAGGAAAAGGAATGTAAGAGGACATTTAGAAAAAAGAACACAGTTAGAACGATCGGAAAAAAGAAAGATTTTTGGAGAACTGATATTTGCCCACAGAAAGCGATGAAGGAGATGAAGTCGGAGACCCTAGTTTTATAAGGTTATTTCCCAAATTTAAACGCAGTGTTTTAATAAGTTGTTCATTGTGGACTGTATATTAAACTGATGAATCCATTATACTCAATCCACACAAGTCAATCAGACGCCTACGTGTAAAACACAGAGACAAATAACTAAATCCATAATGTGGTGTTAGAATTGTTCACCTTTATGGAAGAGGACTTGAATGGAATGTGTCCATGTAAACAAATCCACCTGCCAACTTTTGTTATAATATTTAGAAAGAAATATAACATCACAGTTTATGCTAGAATAATAGTAGATGATAATGTTGTTTTTAGAATAATAGTAGTGGTAGCCGAGAATTATGTTTTTAGGAAATAGTTAAGGAGATTACAACCAACAATTTATACAACAAATTACATAGATTAGTAGTTGAGCTACCTATTTGTAAAGAGGAGCCACAAGTTCTTGAAACAGATCTATAGTGTATTGACCCCTGAAATCATCAACAATTTCATCAGTTATAAGAGCCATTTTCTCTGGACCTCCACCATTGGCGTATATTTCAATGAGCTTCATTGACACAGGTCCACAGTCCCCACTCCTCTCGTTGACATAGATCTCTTTCATTCTTGTCCAACGGAAAGGAGCCAACCCATGTACCTGACTCAGACGTGGCTTGCAAAATTTGTTAATTATATACGGGATTTGGACCAAAATAGGTGCCATGTACTCTTCAACTTTGACATCATCGTTTAGAGGGTAATTTGGATCAAGTATGTCGACACATCATGTGCCTAAGTTGATAGCCAGTCCTACCCAATGCTGGTTTTTCCAAATCATTGGCATGAAGATAAGATCTATTTCTTCAAACCATTCTGATGGAGATCCAGGAATTGCCCGCTTGAACTGTTGATTCCATTGAACGCGCAACTTTTGTTTTGCAGCTAGGAAAGAAGGGTACTTTCCTTGTAGGTAGTTGCCTAGCCACGGTTTGATGATTACAGCGCGTTTTTGAGAGAGTGCCAATCTGTGCCTTTCATTTAGGAAAGATCCTAGGACCTCCATGTGCTGCAAAATGATAGAAATGAGTTAGTGGAATAAGCATATTGAACCTTGGGGAAAATTAATGTGATTAATTATGGGGAAATGTTTTACCATGGTATCAACCCAATTGGTTGGCTGGGCAAGCTGGACTAGGAATTTGTTCGTTATCACAGTATCACCGCGGGTTAGGTGTTCTCTGAAATTAGAAAATAATGTTAGACAGTTGAACAAAAAATAAAAGTAAAAGGTAAAGGAATGTCATTACGTATGTGGTGCCTTTCGAAGTGTGTCCATGAAGACTTTGAATAATGTTTTGTCCAAACGAGGTAAGAGGTCATGTTGTTTTGTAGGTGAGTTTTGGGGAATATTTGACACCAACGCAACAAGTTTGGCCTCTTTGTCAGACAAAGAAGTTGGCTTTCGTTCTCTCGCAGGAGATGAATCACTCACATCAACAACATCTCCAGTTTCGACAGCAGAATCCTGAGATATTTTAAGAAAATTAAGGAAAACACAATGAGAAAGCCATAAATTAAAACTACAGTCATATGAGCAGCAGGGTATTATACCTCATCATCATCATTTTCAATATCATCATCTTTTTCTTGTTCAGTTGCTGCGGCAATCTACGTGAGAAAGGAACAAGTGGTAAGATTTAAAAAATTGGGCATAAAGTATTTTGTGAAAACAGGAGGGTCAATTTTTGGAGGAGAGATAGAGGAGGTTTCAATCTGGTGACAGGTTGTTAGTGGATTACTTAAACCACATATCCACATGGATACTTCTCAAATGAAAAAGTAATGTCTAACAATAAAGGTATCCACGTGGACAGGGAGTTTAAAATTTACCTCGGAGTGTTTTACCAAAACAAAATTTGGTAAAATGTCATCAGACTTGTTTCTATGAGGTAGATCATCTTGTGGTGTTATCTGCAACGTAATAGATCATCTTGTTTAACATTTGGTTTTATGGAGTGTTGTTAAATATTTTGGAAGGTTTGAAATAAATTATAGTAACTTTTGTTAATGAAGATACAAAGGTTCGACATAGTTAAGTATGGACTTATTTGAGAAGCCATAAAAAATACAGCTATCCACGTGGACAGCCTGGGTTAAAATACCTCAGTGTTTTGAAGATTAGCAGAATTTTATATAATATCATCAGAAAGGTTAGCAATAGGTAGATCATCTTGAGGGGTTATCTGCATCCACAATTAAATTGGTTTACTATTGGAATATATGGAATGAGGCTTGAAACAAATCTTTAAAGTTGGAGTATGGTAAAAGGATACCTTTGAATCAACAACAGCAAGAGGCTCTTCTTGTGATGGTAAGGAATCCTCAGCTGCAGCAGCAATAGTAGGACTTATGGACTTGCAAACTGATTGAACCAATGTGTCAACATTATCCGCCAAGGACAAGTCTCCTATGTTGAGCTCCTTGATAAGATTGAAAGTGGTAAAACATTAAGCAGATGAGTAACATCAATTATGAGAAACTCAAACAATAGATAAACTACTTAGTGGAGATAAACCTCAGATCCATCAATAGAAGAGGGTTTCTTTGCAGTATCGAAAACAGGTGGAAGTTGAGGAGAAGGCAGAGGCTTGTGTGTAAGATACCCAAATGTGGAAAATGTAGTTAGGTATAAAAATAGTTAAATATTTTGATATAGAGACAGATATTCTTAAAATATACCTCGTCTCTAAGTTTTGACTCAGTGTCATATATGGGTTGATCAGACTGTTGAGCCTCTGTGCTATCAGCAGATAAATACTTTGATGGAGATTCATTCTAAAAAAGACAAAAAATCTATGAATTAATGATCCATGCTAGGTAACAATAGAGAAATAAATTTTCAAATCCCAGTACCAGATTGTTTTGAGAGGAAGTAACTGAATCCATGTTGGTATTCCCGGGATTGTCTGCCTGTATGATAAAAAAATGTGATAAGTGTATGAGTTAAGAAAAGAATGGAAAATGTGATGTTTGGGAGCAAAACCTCAACAACTTCATTGACTGTACTATTCATCTGCATTAGAGGGTTAAATAACTTAATTAGTGACTGTGATCTCCCAATATAGAAGCATTAAATTGGATCAAAAGCGACTGACCTTCTTAGAAGTTATTAGACGCCATGTGTAATCATCAACAAGAAGTGAAGGTTCTCCTGAAAATGCATTGGCTTCCTCATGCATTGAAGTTAATGGACTTGAAGGAGGAGTTGGGATGTTTTGGGAACCTACAGCAGCTTTCCCAGGAGATTCAGATATATTGGGATGTTTAGCTGCTATGCGTACTTTCCTTGATGGAGGACAAGTTGACTGTCTAGAGCGAGAGAATTTGTGAAATTGAAATCTTGGCATCTTCAGAGATCTCAGGGCCTTGATCTTTTTCAGAAGATTCCGATTCTGACCTCTTAACTTCTGAACACTCTCCGCAAATTCATGTCTTATAGCATCCAACCGCGAATTCACCCACAATTTTATATCACCTGCCTCATCATCATCAACCAACTCAAACTTACGCTTCCTGCCTCGCCTTGAAGTACCGACATTCGATTTTGATTGACTTCCCTTTGAAGAAGGAGTTGCCGTATGTTTCCTTTTCCTGTTAACTATATGTTTCTTGTGTTCAACAACTGGATCCTTTTCATTGACAGAAATGAGATTTAGTTCAGCATAGCCACCAGGCCACTCCTTTTTGGTGAATTCATGACATTTCCTTATCTGCTCAATCAAATAAACCACTTTCTTGTCTCTCACTTCATCATCCCACTCTCCCCATCCATCTTCGTTGTGGTCAACAAACAGCAACGGAGTAACAACCAACTGAACAATCAAAGACAGATAATGAGAACACATTAAAGTTAAAAATTATATAAATGTTTGAAACAACTTACATCAAGAACACGTTCAAGGATATGAACTTCATTTAGGGTAAGATTGTTTTTGGGGATCCCAATTGAATGCCATTCCAAGAAGGTTCTCTCATCTGAAGAACCAGGAATCTTGTCCAGTAGACCAGATATGTTCCTATAAGCAAGAAGTTGCAGGCCCAAAGGAAAGCCATATATAGCTATAGTTTGCTGTTGCATCTGTTCTGTAAATAGCTAGATGGGATCTTCAATTTTGCTATGTGCGCGTGACCTTTTTCTCTTCGCACCTCCCATTGAAAGTTTGTTTTTTCCAGGGCTCATAACATGTATAGTCTTGAGGAAAGATTCTCTCCCCCATGGGAAAGAAAGGAAGGAGTCAATGTTTTCCAACATCTGGACATACTTATAGGTTGGCCGATGAGTCTGATTATTGGCTATTAGGACTCCATCAACAATAAGCAAAAGAGCTAGTGGCAGTTTCAAAGGGGACTCAATCCCTTTCAATGCCTGGAACTTGACGGATAGATCAGCTAACGTAGTGTTCTTATCTTTTCCTATCAACACATCCCAATAATCCTTAACCCCATTCACACGTTTTGGGGATAAATCTGGATCATACTCCTCAGGGAATTCACCACAAGGCAAACCAGTCACATTCCCAAACTCAACTAAAGAGAATCTTAGTGGCTGTCCACCAAAAACAGTCCACATTTCATACTTTTTTTTTGTAATCAGTTGTCTACATAACAACGCGTGGACTAATTTGTACGAAATAGGACATTCGCTAACCCTTAAACTAAAAAGCGAACCAAAACACGAGTCTAAGAGAGTATCCATTTCCTTGGTACCTTGCAGAACATCACAAATGACAGTGAGGATATCGGGTCTGGAGTATATGTTGAGACGAGCTTCTGGGTATCGGTCCGTTGCAAAGAGACGGGGAGGGAGTCGGGTATCCCAGTCAATTGTATCGACTTCCGCCGGAGCTGGAAAAAATTATGCAGTTATTGACGGAAAATAGATTAAAACTGAGAAATGAAGAAGATAACTGAAAAAGAGAACATAAATTACAAAAACATATATCGATTACCTGCCATTGATAACTGTAAGGAGAGTTAAGTAAAAACAACGGATTTGAATGTCGGCCGGATTGGAATTCTAGGTTTAGAAAGAAAAGGAATTATGATTCAAACATATACTTTTGAAGTTCTTAGATCTTGAGCTGAAGTTGAATTCCGGGAAGACGTATTGGTGGATGAGAACGGAGAAACGGAGGCCGATTGTCGCCGTCGCTGTCGCCGAAAGTAATTTTCGATTTAGGTTACAGTGAATAAAAGTTTACGGGTTGCGTTTTACTAGAGGACTGTAAAAATTATTATTTTTAATGATTAACCATAGATATGTAACTATGGTTAACAAAATTTTGAGGGGCTTTTAGTAAAAAAAACTTAAAAAACTACCCACTACCCCTAAACTACTCTAGAAGTCAATTGAGTTTCCAAAATGTACCCCATAGTGTAAAATTTCCTTATATATAGTGCTTCATGATCAAACTATATAGAGTCGACTTCGTTTAGAAGTGACTAATATAACATCTGTTTCTTTAGATGTTTAGTTGGAATATCTGGAGACACTTTTGTCTTTCCAAGATCTTTTATTCCAAATAACTCTTTAAGAGTTTTGATGATGTTCAAAAACATCATGCTTATAAGTTCCCGGGAATAGAGTTATGATATCATATATTTTAGGATTAGTCCTACAGACATCCCATGAGGCGCAATTCAAGTCATTTATTCATCAACTCAATATCGAGTGATTTTGACAAAACACGGCGCGACACACCGTCTTGTCTTAAGTATCATAATACTCTTTTGATGCTTGGACCATGTGTCCAGGAAGTACTCGTTTCTTATACGAGATTAATATAGACTTGGATGCGTCTTTATTTATTGGCCAATATATATTTCTTTACGCTCACAGAGCGGAGATTAATGATCCTCATTTGTGCACTAGATTATTTTTATTGTCGACATTATGTTGTCTTTGGTTCCATATTTACCGTAATGACATGGTTAATCGAGATCTCTTAATCATTATAAATGATTTTATTCAGGTACTTGATTTCGTTATTAACCATGACAATCGGTCTCTTTACTCCTCTTTAGGAGTCTCTTTGCTCCTCTTGAGGAGTCTCTATGCTCCTCTTTAGAAGTCTATATGCTCCTCTTTTTAAGAGTTTAATCCTCTTTTTAGTAATAATATGCTCTTTTTTATTTTCGAGGATTTTCTTTATATTTGGAACCAAAGTTGTCTATCACGTTTTTTACGTGTTATAGACAATAATATGTCATCCGCCAGAGACATATTTTTGTAGAGCAATTTTAGCTGGGACAAGAGATTTCTTATGAACTTTAAGTTCATATGCATTTATACGAGGATCAATAATTTCATGAAATCTCATCCATCAGCTTGTTGCATTTGATTTGCAATTTATTCTGAATAGTGATCTATTTGAACTTTTGAACTCTTAAGTTCATATTTATTATAATCATTTGTTCAAAGATCCAAACTATTCAATGATTTTCCCATAATGATGGAGAATTTTTATCATCAACATGATGATTTGCAAATCTTGCAATAGGCACATCTCTAAAAGATGGCTCAATATTTATAGAGCAGAGACTCATCTCCTGCATCTATATATTTCATCCTTTTTGGATGATATTTTTATGCAGTGCAGAGGAGCATTTATAACATATATCTCACACGCATAAAATTTAAAAATAAGAAATATTTGATTTCCAATCATGTATATAAAACATGGGAGAAATATTTCTTATAAATCGTTAGCCTTGTATATAATCATTAATACATGCAAAATTGCATGATCCATATAAAAATATGGAGATTAAATCACCATGAATCGTTTTGCAATCTCTTGGATTTGCGTTATGAACGATCCGCTTAAAGCTCATTTTGAGAGTGAACATCATTTTTAGATGTTCTACTTTATCAAAAAGTGATAAATTTTAGGATATGACTTCACCAGAGTTATCTCGCTCTGGGATGTCAAACTCACCAAAATTTATCGACTTATTGTCGATATGGGATTCCTTTAATTCTCCCCCTCGAGATAATAACTCTTCGAGTTCATTCATCTCGAACTAAATCCCACTTTAGGATCAATAACATATCCGATACGGATCATGTATTTATTTTTACATCCTTATAAAAATGTGGGACTTGTAATAACCCTTCTCAAGATACAGGCTTTTCAATCCTATTCATCTTGGACCGATTTTTTTTTATTTTTTTTAAGACCGGTTATACACGGGGTTTAATTAGGAGAAATATTACGGAAATCGACCATTAATGAGCTTATCAAAGAAAAATGGTGATTTGGCTAAAGACCATATAATTCTGGAGGCTTAGCCTACTACAGAGTTAAGGAGAAGGTATATAACCTTCAACTCCTTATATAATATAAAATTTAAATAAATTTAAATGAATTTAAGTAAATTCAACATAAATTAAATGTTACCTCAGAAATATGGACGGAAGCATGCAGTGCTCGAATAAGGTTCTCTGTCTTTATATAAAAAAAATTTAGTGATATTTAATCACTCTTTTGAGTTCCAATTTAGGTCATCAACATATACAGCAATGATCACAGATCTCGGTAGAGATTTCTTAATAAAGACGCAAAGAGCATATATCGTTATTAACAAATATACCCTTTCTTACAAATAATCGCTTAAGCGATATACCACATGCGTCTGGATTATTTTAATCCGTAAAGTGATCGCTGTAGTTTGACCATACATATTTCATTAGATTTTGAGTCTAATGGCTCAGGAACTTTAAATCCTTTTAGGATTTTTATGTAAATATCATTATCCAATGATCCATATAAATATTATGTCACTACATCGATAACGTACATTTCTAAATTATTAGAGACCGTTAGGCTCATTAAGTACTTGAATGTAATTACATTCATGACTGGATAATTTTTTTTTTTTATCTAATCAACTCCTGGTCTTTGAGAAAAACCTTGTGCAATAAGTCGGGCTTTATATCGTGTGATTGTATACTTTTGACACGAAGACCCACTTGCACATAACAGGTTTTACATCTTTAGATGTAGTGACAAGAGGTCCAAAGACATCTCTTTGATTAAGGAAGAGCAATTCAATATATTGCACTTTTTTTAATCAGGCCCTTGTTAGCACTGATATGGATCATGGATCTGGATCATTATTATCAAATCCATTTTTCTACCGGGATGGCTTGACCGGTTATGCTATGTTATAGCAATTAGCAAACTTCTGTTTACTATCATAAATATTTTGCCATCTTTATTTTTTGCATGATATAATCATATATTTGCATGTCTCCATTGTGGTCGAATATTCAACACCACATTAATTTTTAGTCTCGATATAATAATTTTAAAGAAAAATATTTTGGAAACTACATGAGTTTCTTTGAGACTTTGGAGTACACAAAGCATCGATTATTATGAATCTGATGCATTTGGAAGTCGAGAGACTAGCTCATCTAGACCTTCCAATTATTTTGCACTGTCTAAAAATATATTGACACGTGCTCATATATTCTCATAAGAGAAATATATTTTTGATTTTAAAGACATATGTCAAAGTCTTTAAATCTCATATAACACATATATTTATTCTTATTCTTTACGAATAAAATAAATAAAAATAATTAAACGCATAAATGTACAAAATAATATGATTTATGGACTATAGCCTTTTCATACAAGAATTCAGGAGGCATCGCCTTCCATATAAGAATTCAATAGGCATAGCTTTCGTTTGATCGTAGAGAAGGAGGCAGAGCCTACCATATATATCGATTAATCCGGAAAAATATAAATTTTTATTTGATCGTTAGGAAGGTAAAACCTACCATATGATGATCGATCCGGAAAAAGCATAGCCATTTATTTGATCGGAAAGGAGGCATAGCCTACTATATATAACGATCTATCCGGAAAAGACATAGCTTTTTATTTGATCATAAAGAAGGCAGAGCCTACCATTTATAGCGATCAAACCGGAAAAAGGCATAGTCTCACGATGTCAAAAATATTTACGTTCTATAAACATAAATAAATTTAATATCATAAAATTTTACTTACCTCGTAAACGCTCAAACGGTAAAGACATCGTGCTGATAACGTGTTATAAAATATAACGCATATAAGTATATTATTATTTTATTATATGTTTGTAAAAAAATAATTAAGAAGAGAAGAAGAGAGGAACTTAGAGAGGAAGAGCAAGTGGAACAATGACTCAACTTCTCTCATTATTATTACAATGAAACAAACGTACTTATATATAGGAGAAGAAGACTTGGGGAGGAAGTCACTTGATGGCCAAGGGGTTATATGGATAATCATTTATATTTTCTAACAATTATCATATTTACGACTAACAAAGCCCAACCTTATTAAATATCCGATTCGACTCTTCAGGTTCTTATTTAATGCTCATCTTCTGAGCAAGTCCGATTTGCTAGATCGCATTCGTCTAAGCAATGGAGAGAAAGTTGCGTTCCGAGGACGAAAAGAGATTCCTCGATTCTTTCTTTGAAACCGCCGACGGAAAGACCTCCGAAACTGCCTCCCAGATCTTAAAGGTACTGATCGATTTGTATGTTCTTTGGGGCTGATGGATTGGTGTGAGTGATCTTAATATTGATCGAGTTTCTGATTTAGTGGCTTTTTGGTTCTAAACCGGCGTTATTTCATCTTAGAAACAATTTGTTGTCAATTTGGTTTGTCAACTTGAAACCCTAGATTGAAACCCTAGATTGAATAAACCCTAGAATTTAGTTTGTTTGAACTTGGATTGCTCGGTTCCAGAATTATTAGAATGTTGATAGTTTGCTACTGATACAAATATTTTGCTTTCTTGTTACGTTATTGTTGTTAATAAAGAGAGTTTTGGGTTTGTCTCTTGTTCAGAAGAGTTCATTCTATTACGAGGAAAGATACTGGATCCTTGAGGACGCTATGCAGCTTTGTTACCCTCAGATACCAGAGCAGACACTTAAGGAAGATATTCAGCCGATGTCGTCCGATGATAACGCGCCTGCACAATCTTTCGGGTATGATTATGTTTTAACTCTTGATTTCAGGGCCTCGTCAAATGGGAATAGAATTGGTGCAAGTGGAATCACTTGCTGCTTAAAGTTGTGTGTTTTTTCATCTGTCATAAACCCATTAAAGTCAGCATCTCCTACAGCATCGGTGCTGATCATACACTCCTCTAACAGTACATGCCTGTTGTAGCCCTCATAATTCCCTTTCATTTTTCATTAGGGCTATGACGGTTGGAATTTCTCAGCATCAACCAGATTGTTTGATTGCTAACCGTAACTTCAGCGAAATTTGGGGACCAGATATGGATGCTTTCTCTCCCTCAGCATCAGCTTCTAAGCGCAGCCTGGCCTCATTGTACCGTCCTCCTTTTCATCTCATGTTTCATGGCTCTTTTGAACAGGCAAAAGCTACTTCGTCTTCTCAGGATAAATGGCTTCTCGTCAACCTCCAATATACCAGGGAATTCACTTCACATTTGGTTACTCTCTAACACTTCCTTTTCCTGAATTTCTTTCTCGAGTCAACCTTGATATTGTCACATCTAGAGATGTCCTATCCGTTTTCATTTTCTATCTTGTCATTTATTCAGTTTTGTTTGTTATAGTTTCACTTGAGGTTTGGTTTTCAAAAAAATTGACCTTCAATTTGAAGGACTTTTCAAGAAAACAGCTGTTTTAATTGCTTCCCTTTTTGTTTCAATCGGTTTCGGTTTTTTTGGATATTGAACTAACGAAAACTGAGTAGGTTTATTTTATCTTTTTGTTGGTCTTTTGGTCCAGTTGCAATCGGTTAAACTGATTTTTTTCTTTTTACGTGTTTCTTTCTCATAGTTAAATCGTGATACTTGGGCGAATGAGACTGTTTCTCAGACTATCAAAACCCACTTCATCTTCTGGCAGGTTTGATATAGAACTTCCCCTTTCATTTGCTTAAACTGAAACGCTCTTTACAGAATTGGTTTAGAATCCGAATCCCGCCTATTCTGGTATTAGGTCGATGGTGATTCAGCAGAAGGAAGAAAGGTTTGCACATACTACAAGCTTGAATCCATTCCCTTGGTGCTTGTTATCAATCCAACCACTGGTCAAGCGATGAAAAAGTGGTTTGGAATGGTCCCACCCGAGTGGTTTGGAAAAGTCCCACCCGAGGCTTTGCTACGCGAGGCTTTGCTACCCGAGGCTTTACTAGTGTTCTTATACCCGTTCATGGACTCTGGTCCTCGTGAACACTTTACTTCTCTCGCAAAGAAACAGCCAAGACGATCATTAGCTGCGTCCTTTGATGATTACAACATGGAAGAGACTTCAGATGACCAATCAATGATATCGACTGAAGAAGTGGTGCTGCTGCCAAAATTCCCACCTCTGCCGGAAGAACCAGAGAGAGGCAATTTCAGCTGTAATTGCGGAGTTGGAATCGATTTACCCAATGGACAAAGAATCATGAGGTATTTCCTCAAAACGGATACAATTCAGGTCAGCAAATCCTAAGACCCAACATTTTTGATTCTTTGGTTTTTGTTTTGTGTTTTTTTTGGTCTGATATCTTGTTACTGTCTCCATTGTAGCTACTCTGGTCTTTCTGCTATTCTCGTCTAACGAAATCAGAGAGGAAGAAGCCATTCAAGCTAACACGACTGATTCCAGGTCAATCAAAGACAATTACATTGGAGTATGAATCTAACTTAACCTTTGAGCAATCTGGTGTTGCCAATTCCCTCGTGTTTGCTACATGGGAATGAAAAATCTTATCCACAAAACTAGAGAACTATCTATTTTTCCCGCTGTTTCTTAAGGTTTTTTTAGTCGAATTAGCTGTTTTCAACTTGACGTTCTTCTTTTTTTTTTTTTTTTTTTTTGTCAAACAAGACTTGTATTCATTCAATCAAGCCCATAAGGGTAGAGTTTACAAGGTCTTCAAGGGTGAAAAAGATTACAAAGATCTTCGAAAAACAAAAGCTAGCAACAAAGATAGATATAAAGATTGGATAGGCCATTGAAGAGTCGGAGACAGAGGCAAACAAGCCACATACCACAAACAACCTCAAAGTGTGTCATAGACACTTCCGCGAGCAAATCGGCGAAATTTGAAGTAGTCACTATCAAAAGATCATGTGACGTTGAGAAAAAGTCATTTGCCTCTTGGTTCGTCGACACGAAACGCAACGAGGACGTTGGGACAAAAGGTAGAATATCCTGAAAGATATAAATTTCTTTGGGTACGATCTTGAGTTCAAAAATCAGAGGGAGCGGATATGAAGGATTGAGGAAGTTTCGGTAATCACCGCTCGTTGGAGACGGGATCATAATGCTGTTCTTCTTCAAGCTTTTAAATTCAAGGGGAGAATTCCTGATGATGCTAAATAGCAATAGCAATTGATTGGACTCGGTAAACAGATGAAGTGGGGATGAAAAGTTAAAGAAGTTTCGGTAATCACCGCTCCTTAGAGACGAGATCATAATGCCGTTCTTCTTCAAGCTTTTAAATTCAAGGGGAGAATCCCTGATGATGCTAAACAGCAATAGCAATTGATTGGACTCGGTAAACAGATAAAGTGGGGATGAAAAGTTGAAGAAGTTTCGGTAATCACCGCTCTTTAGAGACGGGATCATAATGCTGTTCTTTTCCAAACTTTTAAATTCATGGATAATACAACTAGGTGATTCTAAAGGCAGGGTTCTCAAATAAATCTTGAACCAACATAGCAACAATGATAGATTATGCTCCGATTGACGTCCTCGATCAATAGGTGGCATGAATCGGCTCAAAAATTGACTAAGGAAGAACAAGAGAGGGTGTGGGCCAAACCTGGGCTTTTGCAGAAAACAACTTGAAACACATCTTTTAAAAATGGGCCTCGAGGAAAAGGAAAAAGGGCCTAAGCCCACCTGGGGAAAAGGAGGGTCCTCTCGTGAGACACCCACGACAATTAGGTTTGCGCCGCCGCTCATCTTCTTTTCTTTCACCGGAAGAAGCATCGGTCGGAAACTCCCCAACGGTAAGCATCCCGAGAACTCGAAGACGAGACTTGAGAGATTTGGTTGAAACTTAGGGGGAGGTGAAGAAGTAGCTAACAACGACGAGATCCGGTGGGAGGAGGCTTTAAGGGATACCGAGAGAGAACCAGCATCTTTTGAATTGTGAACGATGGAGGATGAGACGCCGCTCTCCACTCTAACACACGAGATTAAGCTAGATGAAATGGATTATTGAAATTTAGAGTAAACGGCAACTTCGATTCAATTATCGTTTAAATTAATTTTAAATTTAATTTATAATTTCTAAAACATATACCAATTGTTTTACCCATTTTAACACTTACTATTCCCATCGAGTTCACTGTATGCCAATATATACAATTTATTTTGGAGAACAATTCATAGAATCTTATACTTCGTATTCGTAGATAATGTGGTATATATGAAAAGAAAATATTTAGACATGAACTCACTTGAGGTTCTGCATTTGGTGAAACGAAGACTAATCTTGGCAGTTAGTTCAAATAAAGATTACTAATGAAAATTAAGGGTTAGTGGAAACTAATTATCAAAATAGAGTGAGAACTGGATCATATGAGCCAAATATTTTAGGATAACAATGTTTCGTGGATGGTTCTTTAAAAGAAAGTGACAATTTCTCAGGAACATAATAGTAAGTGTTCGCGACCAAATGATGTCGTGCCAAACTCTGATGCAACCTAACGTGTTTACATACAGACAAGCGAGAAGTAACCTTTCTTACTGACTGCTCGAACTTGGTAAAGATAGTGTCTTCCTCTACCCTGTGGCCAATCTTTTCTACATACTTGGAGAAAATTGAGATCCATGAGAAAGAATTCTCTTCTTTTCTTTATCTTTGGTTTCTCGTCGTGCAAATATTAAAACGGATAATCTGACACGAAAAATTCAAACCGAACCACATTATATCAGATATGTAAACAATAGCCCTCAGAATTGGCTCAGCTACTCCACTAAAGTTGTTGCAAAAAAATATATATACTTACTATTTTATGACATTTCATAATCAATTTTTAACAACGACAATATTTAGGTTTAAAGATTCCTTTTCTAAAATTATAAAATACTAGCAAATGATCCACGCGTTGCGTGGGTTTAGGACTATATTATGTTTTAGCTACTATTTTTTTTTCATATTTTAAGTGTTTACTTCTTTTGTTTTTTAATCACAATTGTAGTCTACAAATTTAATATAGTGTTGTCAATGTGTAAATTACATATAAACTTGCATTATGCATGTTATTCAAAGACCCTTTGATTTTAGAGAGACCCTTCTTAGCAACGGCTGGAGCTATCATTAATCTTAGGAAGGAGAAGATCGATCTTAACCTTGGCAAGAATTTCAAAATGACGTTTGACATCAAGGATACTATGAGGAAGCCTACAGTAGAAGGTCAGATCTTCTAGGTTGAGGAAATGGATCACTTAGCTGATGAGTTGCTAGAGGAGCTAGCAGAAGAAGATCACCTTAAGAGTGCTCTGACCAAGAATAATGAAAATGGGTATTCGTATTCGCAGACCTTGGGTTATTAGAAGCTTTTGGACTCACATAGAGCAATTGAGGAACCGCACTTCTTTGAGGATTTGATTGGTTCTACCATAGAAGTAACGGTAGTGAGTAAAGAAAGTTCAACACATGCTTAACCTGCTCACTCGACCAACGTAATCGATACCCTTGTTGAGCTCATCAATCCAACATCAGGTGACTGGTCTGAACTCAAGACACCTAAGGTTGAACTTAAGCCGCTTCCAAAAAGACTAAGGTACGTCTTTCTGGGTGATAACTCTACATATCCTGTCATTTTAAGTGATAAAGTAAACAATGAACAAGTGCATATCCTGTTAACCGAGCTGAAAAGTATAGGAAGGCCATTGGATATTCACTAGTTGATATAAAAGGAATCTCGCCTAGCTTATGCACTCATAGGATTTATCTTGAAAGTAAATTTTACTCTAGCATTGAACCTCATAGGATATTGAATCCTAATTTAAAAGAGGTTGTAAAAAAGGAGATACTTAACTATTGGAAGCAGGTGTAATTTACCCTATCTCTGATAGCACTTTGGTATCTCTAGTTCATTGTGTTCCTAAGAAAGGAGGTATGACAACAATGATAAAGATGAACTCATACCTACTAGAACCATAATTAGTCATAGAATATGCATTGATTATAGAAAGTTAAATGCTAAATCTAGAAAAAATCATTTCCAAATGCCATTCATTGATCAAATGCTAGAAAGATTAGCTAATCATCCTTACGATTGCTTCTTAGATGGATATAGTGGATTTTTTCAGATACCCATTTCAGCTCTCGGGATCCGGTTGCGGTTCTAATTCTTATATCCAATCATACACACGAGATCTAGTCATATTTGACTCCAAAAACACTAACCAAACTTCTTATTGCTTCTCAAATCTTTGTGGGTGTGGCCGAAGTCCTATGATTTTTTTTTAAAAAATCCGGGATCCGGTTGTGGTTCTAGTTCTTATACCCAATCATACACACGAGAACTAGTCATATTCGACTCCGAAAACACAAACCAAGCTTCTTCTTGCTTCTTAAATCTTTATGGGTGTGGCCGAAGTCCTATGAGTTTTTGGTTTTGGAGCTTCTAAACGGTGAAACACTACTTTAGCTTTCAGGATACAGTTGCGGTTCTAGTTCTTATACCCAACCATACACCCGAGATCCAGTCATATTTTACTCCAAAAACACTAACCAAGATTCTTCTTGCTTCTCAAATTTTTGTTGGTGTGACAGAAGTCCTATGAGTTTTCGGTTTTGAATCTTCTAAAAAGGGAAACACTACTTCAGCTCTAGGGATCCGGTTGCGGTTCTAGTTCTTATATCCAATCATACACACGAGATCTAGTCATATTTGACTCCAAAAACACTAACCAAGCTTCTTATTGCTTCTCAAATCTTTGTGGGTGTGGCTGAAGTCCTATGAGTTTTTTAAAAAATCTTTTAAAAAGAGAAACAATACTTTAGCTTTCGGGATCCGGTTGCGGTTCTAGTTCTTATACCCAATCATACACACGAGAACTAGTCAAATTTGACTCCAAAAACACTAACCAAGGTTCTTCTTGCTTCTTAAATCTTTGTGCGTGTGGCCGAAGTCCTATGAGTTTTTGGTTTTGGAGCTTCTAAACGGAGAAACACTACTTTAGCTTTCAGGATCCGGTTGCGGTTGTAGTTCTTATACCCAATCATACACCCGAAATCTAGTCATATTTGACTCCAAAAACACTAACCAAGATTCTTCTTGCTTCTCAAATTTTTGTTGGTTGCCGCTCTTGAACCCTCACACATCTGCTCCTCATTTTGGTCGTTGATGACGAATTAGGATCCGGCCATTGATGCTTCCATAGGCTCAGGTGATAACATCGTATTTTCACCCGCTTTCACTATCGTGTTTGTAGTTTTTAATAAGTGTTCAGTACGTGAGTGTTTTTCCACTATTAGTTGTTTCAAAACTCTTTCCAAGATATATGAACAAAAAGACGAGAAAGGATGCAAAACAAGTGCATTAGAAAACATGACATCTTTTGTACCTAAGTGATAACATTGTATTTTGACCCGTTTTCTTATGCTTTTAAGAAGTGTTTGACATGGTTTTAGTGATTTTAAAGTTGTTTTCAAGTAGTTTTAGTTTGAAAAGGTCTTTACAGGTTTTTGGGCAAAATTAAGAACCAAAAGAGGAGCAAACCACGTTTCTGGACAGATTCGGAACATCAGATGTATGGCATCCGTTGAAGGACTTACACTTCACAAAAGTTG